CCAGCAGTCTCTCTCTCTATCTCCTCTCTCTCTCTATCTATCTATCTATTTATCTGTCTGTCTGTCTATCTTTTTATATATCATCTGTCTGTCTGTCTACCTATCTATCTATATGTCTATCTCCCTCTCTCTCTATCTCCCTCCCACTCTTTCTCCCTTCTCTTCCTCTCTCTCTCTTTCTCTCTTCCTCTCTCTCTCTCTCTCTCTCTCTCTCTCTCTCTCTCTCTCTCTCTCTCTCTCTCTCTCTCTCTCTCTCTCTCTCTCATTCTCTCTCTCTCTCTCTCTCTCTCTCTCTCTCTCTCTCTCTCTCTCTCTCTCCTCTCTCTCTCTCTCTCTCTCTCTCTCTCTCTCTCTCTCTCTCTCTCTCTCTCTCTCTCTCTCTCTCTCTCTCTCTCTCTCTCTCTCTCTCTCTCTCTCTCTCTCTCTCTCTCTCTCTCTCTCTCTCTCTCTCTCTCTCTCTCTCTCTCTCTCTCTCTCTCTCTCTCTCTCTCTCTCTCTCTCTCTCTCTCTCTCTCTCTCTCTCTCTCTCTCTCTCTCTCTCTCTCTCTCTCTCTCTCATCTCTCTCTCTCTCGCTCTCTCTCTCTCTCTCTCTCTCTCTCTCTCTCACTCACTCTCTGACTCGCTCTTTCTCATTCATCCCTTTCTCCTTCTCCGCTCCTTTATCCTCAGCTCTCGCTCTTCCTCCATCCTTCTCCCCTTCCTCTCGCTATCCCCCAGACCCAGATTGGATCAAGAAGCTGCGGGCAAGAGGGACATAGTGTCAACATGTGGCGCGAGAGCGTCTTTAAGAAACAGGAGACCAGACGTGGGAGAGGGAGGGAAGGGGAGAGGGGGAATGGGAGAGGGGGAGAAGGGGAATGGAAGAATAGAAAGGGGGATAGGAGAGTGGGAAATGAGGGATGGGATGGAGAGAGAAGTAAGAGACAAAAAGAGAGCTAGCCACACAAACAGACAGAGTGACGGAGACATAGAAAGATAAATGCAGTCACTTGGTCAAACAAAGAGGCAAAGACAAATAGTCAAACAAACAGATAAATAACAAACAATCAGAGGCAAACAATCACTCACAAGCAGACAAAATCATCCACAAACAGGGTGATCAAGGACTAAGTAGAGAAGAAAGGGAGGCAATTGGATCCCCTTCGCGGCTAATCAGAAACCACAACAACACCGCGTGTCTCGCGTCGATACACTTGAGGGCAGAGGAGGGCTTGGGGGGGGGGGGGGCGGAAGGCGAGGGGAAAGGGGAGGGGAGAGGGAGATGAGGGGAAGGAGCAATGAATGGGGAGGGGGAGAAGGACTGAAGCGTTAAGGAGAAATAGGAGGACAGGGAAAGGTGAGGGAGAAAAAAGGGATAGGGAAGGGAAAGGGGAGGGGGAAGAGGCGGCGACCCTTCCTTGCGGAGTGCCTTCGGGCCGAGCGCGTCGCCTCCTCTCCCCTTCGCTTCCTCGCGTCTGCTCTTCTTAATTCTCTTCATTTTTAATACATTTTTTCTGCTGTGGGAATCGCCGTTGATATCTTCCTCTTCATTTCTTCTTCTTCTTCTTCTTCTTCTTCTTCTTCTTCTTCTTCCTTTACTCTCTCTCTCTCTCTCTCTCTCTCTCTCTCTCTCTCTCTCTCTCTTTCTCTCTCTCTCTTCTCTCTCTCTCTCTCTCTCTCTCTCTCTCTCTCTCTCTCTCTCTCTCTCTCTCTCTCTCTCTCTTTCTCTCTCTCTCTCTCTCTCTCTCACGATTTAGCAGGTGAAATAGAAAAATATTCGAGAAATGCACCAACAAAGAAATGTAAGAAAGAAAAGGAAAGCTCAAAGAGTAGAAGCAGAGAAAATCAATAAAGAGAGAGAGGGCGAGAAAAAGGGGAAGGGGGGTAGGGGGGGCGAATCACCACACTTCCCGTTTCTTTAAAGCTTGTATCGATGCCTCCCATTCAGCCAATCAAAAAACATTTCAAAGAGCGCCTGTACTTCTTATTGGCTATCGACCCGAGAGCGAGAAATAGACGGGGCACAGGCTTTAAGTTTTCGTAAAATGAAAAATATCTTAAAGAGAGAAATAGGAGATGAAATAGATATTTGAAACGTTCCAGAAATGGGTTTTAAAAATGTATATAGTATTTGTTTATTGTACTTATTAACAACAATGGTTTAAACAGAATTGAATTATATATGTCACGAACAAAATACAAATAATATGATAAACTACATTAAAGTCGATTCACATGTGCTCCGTGAAGACACCCTTAATCATTAAAAACTGAAACTGAGAAAGCTCCTTCCACATTAATGAAACGACGTGATGTTCTTATTTGGTTTTCGTTTTTGCTAAAGATAACAAGGGAGTAATCAATATCGTATTATCAGATAATGAACGTTAAGTCTTCTTCATAACAGTACATATATAGAGTAATCAGTCAGTCACTTTGCATTATCAATGCATGTAAACCAATCAGTCAATACGTATATGTATGTATATAAATCTGCACAACAGAAATGCATGCATGTGTGCAAGTGCGCTGTGCACGTGTCCGTTGAGACCACAGCCAAATCCACCGGTTCTGAGAGCGGCCCATTCATCGCTCTCGTTCAAGGCAAAGTATAGGCATCCCGTGCATAATGGGAGAGGAAGAGAAGGGAGGAGAGGGGAAGAGAGAAGAGGAGAGGGGAGGAAAGGAGAAGAGAGAAGAGGAGAGGGGAGGAAAGGAGAAGAGAGAAGAGGAGAGGAGAGGAAAGTGGAAGAGAGAAGAGGAGAGGGAGGGAGAGGGGAAGAGAGAAGATGAGAGGGGAGTAAAGTGGAAGAGAGAAGAGGAGAGGGGAGGATTACGGTAAGGGGAGGGGAGGAGAGGGGAAAAGAACGATAGAAGGCAAGAGGGGAAAGCGGGGGCGGAAAATGGGGAAATGG